CCTCCGCCCCTTTTCCCTCCCGTCCCCCCAGCCGCCACCGCCGCGGCCCGCCACTGCCACTGGCTGACTGGTCGTTAAATGTGACCCGGCGGATCGATCTGTTTGGCTGTTGCAGGCGCGCGGAGATGTCGGGCGGCGCGGCGTTCGAGAGCATCCCGCCGCCGACGGGCGTCTTCTACTTCACGCACGACTCGGCGCTGCACATGATGCTGGCCGCGCTGGGCGTGGCCAAGGACCCCGTCCCGCTCATGGCCAGCAACATGGAGCAGCAGGCCAAGCGCGCCTTCAGGACCTCCTTTATCGGCTCGTTCGCCGCCAACCTGGCCGCCGTCTTCTACACGTGCGTATACTATACTACTGCAGCTCTGCAGCACAAGAGGCTGCACGGCGCTGCTGGCCGCAGGGTGTAACTCTTTACTCTCCGCGCTTCCAGGTGCGACCAGGGTGAGCGGCACCGGGTCATGTTCTACCTGCGGGAGCGCATCGTGGAGATGGAGGGCTGCCAGGTGGGGCTGTGCTCGTGGAACCACCTGCGCACCAAGCTGGCGAAGGCCGCCAACGGCTGCGACCTCAACTTCTGCCACACCAGCGGCAGCGCGCCGTTCTCGGCGTCCTCCGTGCTGGCGGCCGCAGCGGCCGCGGCGCTCCTCGCGGCCAGGCGGCTGGCGGCGTAGGCTGGGGGGGACGGCCAGGACGCGGACGACCATACAGGCAGCAGCGACCCTCCACCTCCCTGCTGCTGCTGCTACTCCACCTGATCAACAACATCGACATCGCTGACGGGTCGACGGCGTATCCCCCCTCCCTCGGGCTCTGGTGGATAACGATACCGATTACGAACAGTAGATGAAACATCAGAGCCCTGTATATCTATCCTTAAGGGATACACCGGGATTTTGAACTAGGAGCAGGTATTGACTGCGGATGATTTCATGACTGAACATCCTCACGACTACTCTGTAGTCATGCCGCAGCCAATTCTTTGGCATTGTACTAAACATCGAAGTGTAAAATAATTTTTCCTTTACTTTTGGGGATTTTTTATCTATTTTGCTGTGAATTTACCATTTACACATGTCAATTCTTATGAATGTTATGCTAGAAAGAAATTTTGTTGTGGTCTCTGGGTGTACTAGAAAATGATTTCCTGTCATGAAAGCCCATTCTGGTGGTGTTTTGTTGGATTTTATTTTTTCTGTGCAGAGAGCGTTAGTTTGTACAATGCATCACTACCTCTGGCCAGACAAAATGAAAGAGGTGGTTTTACGTTATGGAAGATGAGATCTTTGCCAGTATGGTGGTTAAACTTATTTGGTAAGAGAGGACTCATCTTGTCCAAGAATAGATATGCACTGGAAATTCTCTTCATCCTTTGCAAGGGGAAGGGTTGCTGTGAGTGCGAGAAATGACGAATGCTTGGAGTGCTGTGCTTGGCTCTGCGGCTAGTAGACAAGTTATGAATCGAACTATACCATGTGTCTGGTTCGCCACGCCCATTTCGGTTTAAGCTGCTCCGGATGCTTGCGAGCGCGTTTGCCTATCGTCTCTGACCAAGGCGCCTTCCGGCCCGAGCGAGTAGGCAACCCGTTGGCACGCGTGCATGCGGTACAGTCTAATCCATGGAGAACGCACGCAATGGGCGGAGAGAAACGCACGAATATCGATGAAACTCCTAACTTACTTTTGTCCAGACGAACCAGAGACCTGGTATGTATCCGTGTGCTTAGGCTGGCTAACGCGGCTTCGTGACAGTGAATAGAAATAATTGTGATGCATTAGGGAAAACAGTATTTGTTTGCTAGTAAATAGATAATTAATCTACCAAGCAGGGTAGGTGCGAATCCGTCCCACAGTACGCAGCAAATAAATTCGGCAGCTGTAGTTCATTGATGTCAAGCAAAGGGACCCGTGTTTGCATAGAGTAATAATTAGCTAGTCAATTTCTAGAGTTCTAAAGACATATAGCAATAATTGTTGATCTGCTGATATTCTGTGTCATTTTAGTTTGTTTTTAATTTTTAAATGTAGCGGGCTTTGCAGTGATGATGACTTTTAAGGTGTAAAAGGTTAATGATATATACATACACCAGAAAGTTATTGACTTTTGAGCGTTGTCAAAGGCGTTGTGTATTGAAATCATTTAGTAATTCTGACATTGTCTTTTGTTTAGTATGCCTAGTACCGTTTTCTTCTGCTCGTGATTCATTGTAGGGAAAAGGTATTGTGCCATGCCAATTTGTTGTCTTAGAGGCGGGGAAATGAACTCAAATTATTTTTAACTTTAACTTTAGTTTTGATACTCATTGTATTTATTTAAAGGTTGCACTGGGGAGGAATTGATCTGATATTTATGTATAATTTACCGTTCCTTTAGACATAGTAGAATATGGAATTCTAAAGTTCTGTGTCCCTAGTGTAGTTTAAGCTATCAGAGCAAGCTGAGTAGCTTTTTTCCAGGGATATATGTTGGGGAATTTAAAGGAAAATGGAACTTGTTTGTCGATGTGATCTTTCTTTAATTGTTTTGCCAGCAGGCGTTTATACTCTTGTCCGGAATGTTGCTGTCATGCACGCGTTGCGTTTGTGCGAAATCACGCTCTCATTAAATAAATGAGAATGTTTTTAAAAAATATACCCGTATTCACGATAGGTTCAATACAAAACAACCACACGGTCAGCTTCCAGAGAAAGAGCGACGCCGGTCCATGGGACATACGCAGCACCGAAGCTACGAGATACACCAGATGGATGCTGAGGGAATGCCCAAGCACGCACTTTCTCCAAGATACCAATTTATGCATAACCAGCGTAACCAATTCACATAATATGCAGATACATGTTGATTTTGTGATAAGTGTGAGCTTCACTCTAAAAAAAGTTACAAGTTCTAGTATCAATTTTGAAACAAAATTTTGTAACCTTGGATACTGATTCAAAAATTTGTAATGTTGTGACAAAATTTTGTAATTGTTTCAAAAAATTGTAATCGACGTACAAACTTTAACAATACGAATGCAAATTTTTGTAACTGTTGCAGGTTTTAGTAATTGTTACAAATATTTGTAACATTGTTACAGTTTGTCCTAATCCTGGTATTATTTTTCGTTAACTTGATATAAAAATTTGTAACATAGGATGTTACAAATTTTTGCATCCACGCATTACAAATTTTTGTGTCCCAATTACAAAAGTTTGTACCATATGGTTCAGAAATGTGCTATTGCAGCCAGCAAAAAAAAAAACAAAAAAAAAAAAACCTTGTACACTCTCCTGTAAAACTTAGTGTGAGAGCAGAGAATGGCTGCCTTTGCTGCCTACCGAAGGCAAATCTCTTCGACTCGAGAGATTTTAAGATTTTGTGTGTCGCTAGCAACTGCCGCTAGATGGCGCAACGGTCAGAGCGTCTCTAACAATAACCATTTCTTTGCATAAAACTCAAATTTTGACACGAAACTAACATTTAATTTTACGCTGTATGCTCTATAAGACAATGACCTTCAGTGAATATAAAAGTTTTTGTTCAAAAAGTCAACCATGCGTCAGATATAATTGGTTTAATATCAACGCGCGCAGGGTATACCCTAGGTAGGTATACCTGCCAACTCTCCTCGGTTGGGTATGGCAACGTTTTCCACATCTGACTGTAGCGGTTTCTACACGCTACTTCATTTTTGTATCAGTGACTTGCAGTGTCACTGATTAGTTCCGTCCTCCTCGGAACATTCTTTGCTCCGGGGAAAAGTCAAGATTTAGCAAAGTAGTTTAGCTAAAACTGACTTTAGCAATGCTCGAACGGGTAATACACTGTGCACTTCTGATGAAAGAGGCATTAGGTTACTAATATGACCCTTCCGGAACGGCAATGAGGAAATACTACTAATTTTTGGGTGTCGGCAACTACTGCGCACAACAGCACAAAATGTTACAAAATTTTGTAACCAGGAAGCAAATACATGTACACAGTAGTTACGAAAATTCGTAACATCTTATGTTACAAAATTTTGTAACCAGGAAGCAAATACTTGTACACAGTAGTTACAAAAATTTGTAACCTCGTATGTTACAAAATTTTGTAATCTTGTTACTGAAAAAACTTCCCATCAATGTTACAAAATTTTGCACTGATTTTTTTTAGAGTGTTATCACTTACTTTCATGAATGATAAACTACTCATCACAATAAAGAGTCTACTCCGTTTTGAGATTCGGTGGACTAGCTTGGCAGCACTGGTTCGGTTGGCAGCTCTGAACTATGTTTGCGTCATGGCTGACTTCGGGCTTCGCGGACGCACGTTACGCTTGTTTCTATTTTTCGCGTTTTAAGTTTTATAGTGATTTTATAACCATGCGTCGTTTTAGAAAAGTTTTCGAAAAGTAGTATCTCTCTTAATATATTTTTCACAAGTTTAATGGACACTTAGTTTGCGTAATTCGCGGTCGCGGCACCTGTTGTGTTGTTACCGGTGTGGACAAGATGGACGAGGTTATCGCTTATCTGAATGTTGAGGCAAGTCTTGTGAAAAGTAGTTTACGGAATATTTCGAGTGTTCTGCAAGACAACCAGATTGCTGAACATTCCCTCGACCTTTTGGAGTCGAAAGAGCCTGGAACATCTTGGAGGTTAGTTTTCAAATTGTTCATCATTTTTCCTTAGTTCCATTAATTGCTTTGTTGCAAACCAAGGGTGAGATTGTGCACTACGGTTACAAATACTTTTTTTTTATCACTTGCTTCGATTTCCCTGTCATCCAATGTGACCTTTTACATCCATACATTCATTTTGAAGGTTGGTTTACGGAAAAATCACCTTGGCTAAATTATTTCTTTCACTGCCCGCCTCCCTGGGACGCTCCCGCTGGCTCGGGCTGTGGGCGCGCTGAGCGATTTGATCAAGTTTGGTTTAGAATATGTTCGGGTGTATGTTTTAGTGTTAAATGTATCATCTGGTAAAAAACAACAACAAAATCATTTCATCTAGTATATTTACCGGATATATACACATAGGCAGTGATCATCAATCTCCCTCTTAATCCATTTCGATACTTCTGTGATAACAATACCCACCAGAACATGTCTCCTCCCCCCCCTCCTCTTTTTCACGAGTGCAGGACCTGTCAGCTAATTAGTCCGTCCTTCTCTTACAACTTTCCCACCGCTCACCGCGCCGTGTTTTCATGGTCCAGCGGGGCGTGGCGGAGCGTGGTGGGGCCGCGGCCGACCCCCGACCAGCATCGCGAGATTGATCTGAGATGAGTGGTGGTGTTGCCCTCCCTTGCGCGGGTCGCCGCTGCTCGGGTCCTCGGCCGGGCCGGAGAACACTACGCTCTTGGTGCTCATTTTTCAATAATAATAACAACCGTTGGTGTTGGTTGCCGATTTCCGGTTACAGCCCGCGGCTTGTTTTCTTTTTCGGGATCACAATACACAGTAATTATGAAGACAAAGGTCGTGAAAAAAAAGGAGCGACACGTTTCTCCGCGTACCGCACGATTTCATTAAGTCAAGTCGATCCTGGGAGTCACCACACCTCATCCCCCTCCCCTGCCCCGGACCGCACGCCGTGTCGAGGGCCACGACGGGGGTCATGCAGTGAGCGGCCCGGATCCTCCAAAACAGTTCGCTCGCGGTGCTCGCGGTCACCGGTGCCACCGCCGGCGCGCGCTTCTTGTCCCGCAGTGCTCCGCGACCCTCGTCAACGGGGACGAGAGGCTGCACTGCGCTCAGCTGTGGGCGATGTAGGCGTCCAGCGACCGCCAGCTGCACGAGTAGTCGATCTTGAGGTGGCCGTAGTTGGTGAGCTGGAAGCGGCTGCAGTCGTAGCCCGGCAGCCCGGCGGCCGCGCCCGAGCCGCAGTATCCGTAGGGGGTCTCGCCGTACAGCGAGGAGGCGAGCTGCGCGTACATGAGGTCCGCGTCCGTGAAGCCGTCCACGACGGCGTCCCTGCGCGGCGCGCCGGTCGCTGCTGCTGCTGCAGCCGCCGCCGCTGCTGCTGCCGCCACCACTGCGTTGCCCGGACCGTCCGCAGGGCCGTCCGCGGGGCCGTCTGTGTACTCGTCGCTGGCGTCGCTCACGTAGCAGTCGTCGCTGCTCCCGGCCGTGCCGTACGGGGTGGCACCGTACGGGGTGGAGCCGTACGGGGTGGATCCGTACGGGGTGGAGCCGTACACCAGGCCGCTGCTGTAGGCCAGGTCCGACGCGTACCTCCTGTGGGCAGAGAGGGAAAGGGGTTGTTAGCGAGAGGGCCGGCTGGGCTGGCTGGGCCGGCTGGGCTAGCCGCCGCCGGACGCCGCGCTACTTGTAGCCGCACACATTAGCTGCCGGACACGCTCTCGTCCCGCGGATGAGTGGCAAGGCTCCCACGGCCGCCGCCGCCGCGCGGGCCCGGGGGGGCGGACAAAAGAATAAGCCTTCCAGCAGAGCGCAGCAGAGCACCGGACCTTCCGCTGCTCCACCGCGCCCAGGCAGGCGCGCCAGGTGCGCGACGTGGCAGGGAGGCGATGTGCCGGAGCGGCCCGACCCGCGACCTGACCCGAGCGCGAGTGCCGTACGGAGAGTATGACGTGCACCGGCGCGGTGGGAGTGGGCGTCCCGTCCCGTCGTCCTGTCCCGCCCCGCTGCCAGCTGCCCTCGCCTCGCCCACCTTACCTCCGCGACGTACTCTGTGCAGGGGGGCCGGGGCACGCCCCCGAGACCAACAATAGGAAGCGCTGCCCGGCCCCGGCTCGGCCGACTGTGCTGCTCGGCTGCTCGGCCGACTCTTGCTCGGCTGGATGTGAACAGAGATGCGTTATGTCGCGGTGCGGCCCACTCAGTCGGCTCCAGCAGTATGTGAGATGACAATAAGAGTAAGCAAGGAAAACGTCCCCAATCCTCAATCAACGTGTTTTTAACCGAAAATAACGCTGTGCTTGTTCCGCGGCACTTATAACAAAATTATTAAGTTCTTGGAATACTCACAGACAGTTTCGTTTTGCAAACACCATATGAATTTCGAAAAATTGAGGCCACGCTACGCGTCCTGTGCGATGACCGTGACGAAAGGCACTCGCCGGCAAATAAAATGATACCTCTACGACGGTAGGGCAATTCTACACGGCCGCCTTTGCCGACAAAGCCTCTTATGATGTCCTCTGCTCCAGCTCAGGGCCGAACCACCTTGGCCTCCACCTCCACCGCGACCGTCGTCGTCGGCATAATGCTGTCGCTATTGACGCACCGAGTCCGAGTTTGAGCAGCCGCTAGCCACCTGCGCCTTCCAGAGGCCTCTATTGCCTTTGGACCTGCTGGGGCGGGGCGGGCGTTGGTGGTGAGGGCGGGGAGAACAAAGGGTCGGAAACGCGCGCGAAAATATAAAAGACAAGTGGCGTAACCCCTTCATCGGACTTATCAGGGTTGGCCATCTCTGCGCGGGCCGCTGCAGCTCAAACAGAGCCGTGCCGACTCCGAGCGGCCGGTGGCGTAGGGCTGGAGTGGGGAAGAGACAAACGGCCGGGCTGGTGCTGCCAGTGCGACAGAGACGGGGATAGGGTCCTGCCTTGCCCCCTCCTCCTCTCCGCAGTTCTGGCCAGCCTCCTGCTCCAGTTCCTACTACTCCGGCTCGAGGGTGATGGTGGCCCGGCCGGTGGTAATTCTCTCCTAGTCAAGCGCGCATTGAGTCAGCGTCGGTCGGTTTGCGTGTTTTTCCCTCCGATTGTTTGCCCACTCGCACGTCATATTTGACCGTGCGAAGGGCAGAGCTCTAGGGCTTGGGGTGCTGCTATGAGGGACGCCCTTGCGGAATAGTGGAAAATGGGGAGAGGAGCGGTGTGATGGTCGATCCGAACATCAAACGGCCAACGACTCGATAAAAAGTAAGAGAAGAAAGCTGATCGTTTCTTCCGGAAATCGGCTGCACGCCGCGCGGCTCGCGGCAGCTGCGAATGGTTTGGCTGGCGTGCATTAGGTGCGACTGACTGGCTCTGAGCGCCGCAGCGCCACGCCACGCCACGCCACGCCCGCTGCAACGGCCCGTTGCGTTTAAAAGCACGCGCGCGCGACTAGGCGTGGCGGCGCGTGGAGAGAGCCATCCCATGTGCGCGCGTCATAATCCACCACGCGAGGGAAACCAAAACAACACATCTTTTAAAGACCCTTCCCCTCTCATTCCTCCCTCTCTCTCTATCTGCCGCGTAACCGATATATATATTTTTTTCCTCCAGATGTTTCTCCTCGCCGCGCGCGCGCGCTCTCGTGCGGACTCCTAATAAGTTTTATCATCGTTACAAACTTTCTGGCGGTTCCGTAACTTTTGACTGTACCGGCGCGGCGCTGCGGCGGGGCTCCCTGCTCTCGCGTACGTCTGTACCAATGGTGCTGGGGTAGGTCGGGGGCGGCACGGCGCCGGCGGGGGTGGCTCCCGGCCGCGTCCTTCCCGGCCCCATGGCCCAGGCCGTGTGGGTGGCGGGCGAGTGGGCGGCCCAAGGAGGGTCCGGCCGAGGCAACCTCCTCGCGCGGCCTGAGCTCCGGCCTCCGCATTCCCAGAATAGCGTTTTCCGGCGGCGAGGGCTGGCCGGCCGGGCGCCGGAAGACCTAGAGCTGCTCGAAATAGCTGGAGGGGGTGGGGATTGCGGCTCGCAGATGGCGGGGGGTGGGGGTGGCATTCGACTCGTGCCTCTTCGAGGCTTGTCAAGTGAAGCAGTCGCGTTGTCGCGTGCGCGCGCGGGCGTGCGACGTACGACTTGCGGGACGGTTTGAAAAAGCGTTGCAAGTATGTACACCGAGCTGGAAATCTAACCGTCGCAATAGAGTTGTGATGCAGGTGATTCTCCTTGATAATGATGATGATGACGGTGGGAGTCATCATCCTGTACCGCCCCCGATGCGAAGATCACCAGCATGAATAAAAATAACCTGCATCGAAACTCACAACTTTATTTCTTATTGCGACGGTCGTGACGGTTAGATTTCCAAATAATGCACAGACTTCGATTGCTCTCTCCACCCCCCCCCCCTAGTAGCACGGGGCGCGGTCGCTCTAGGGATCCTCCAGAAAGTATGTCTGTCTTTCTGAAATTCTTTCGGCAAATTACAAGCTCAGCGCCTGCGAGACTCGGGGTAGGCCACCCCGCGGTACATGCATGCACTGCAGGCAAGATGTTGCCTATCTAGCAGGCGCTGTGAGCCCCTCAGAGGCTGGCTGAACATTCCAGTGTCGGAATGGCGAACTGCAGACGCACTTTATTCTAGATGACCCTCTATCGACTCTTTCGCTTGACAGCCTCTCGCCGTTCATTGTCGCGGTCATTTCACTTTTACACCCTTGTGGATTTTAAGACCTGTGGGGCCAAGCGAAGCCCAACTATGTCCGTCCGAAAGTCAGTGCGGAGAACAGCGTAAAGTACAGGCGCACTGATGCTTTTGGTCCTAATTGAGCTCCGAGTTCTGGCTCCACGCCCATCAGGCACAGGCCTACCCGCCGGACACATGTTTTGCAGTGAATATCATTGCAGGTATTATAGCCCAAAGCGTACAGCGCAGAGCGTATTACAGCCTAAAGCGTACAACATAAAGCGTATTGCAGACTAAAGCGTACAGCGTAAAAACGTATTGCAAGCCTAAATCGTCGTGTAGCGTAGTACAGCTTCAAGCGTGCAGCGTATTACAGCCTAAAGCGCACAACATAAAGCGTATTGCAGCCTAAAACGTATAGCGTATTACAGCTTCAAGCGAGCAGCGTATTACAGCCTAGAGCGTATAGCGTATTACAGCCTTAAGCGTACAGCGTACAGTGTACAGCGTACTCACCCCGCGTGCGTGGCGTGCAGCCCGGCCAGCAGCTGCCCCCGGCTGAAGGACGCCCTGCGCGTGCTGTAGATGTGCGCGGGGCTGGGGGCGGGTCGCGGGGCGGGGCTCGGGGCGGGGCTGGGGGCGGGCCAGGCCACGCAGTGAGAGTGGCGGCGGCGCACGGAGGACGCCTGCAGGCGGGCGGGCGGCGGCAGCGCGGGGGCGGGGCCCGCGATGGACGCTCGGCTCCGCGGCATCTGGATATAGAAACAGAAACCCGACCGGGCCGTCAGACGGACGCGCTCTCTTTGCCTTACGCGTTTGTTATTATTGCCTTTTAATATCAGGGGATTAGCTACACGCCGTGCCTGGTGTGAGGTGGCGGGCCTGCTCACGGCCACGGAGTGCCTCTTGGAGCGCGGGCCGGCGGACGCCGCGGAGGACTGCGGCTGCGGCGCGGCGGCGGCCCGCTCCAGCTCTACGGCGCCCAGGCGGCGCGACAGCTCGTCGGCGTAGTCCTCGAATGCCTCGTACTCGCCACTGCTGTCTGTAATAACAGAAATAAAGAAAAAAGAGATTAAGTATATCAACTTTGGAAATCCTGCTTCGGGGCATCAAGTGCTGGCGTTCGCGGTCGCCGCGCCACAGCCGCACAAGCCGCGACACGCACCGCCTGCATCACGTAGGGCACTGCCCCCCCCCCAACTCACACGCAGACGGACGCGAGCGTTTACGCGCTCACAATTCTCGCCGTCTGCGACCGCGACGCACGCGTTGTACGTGTGCGCGTGCGTTCGTTGTGGTCACATCGGCGCGCCTCGATTGGTGTATATTAGGTTCATGAAACGGCCTTCACGTGAATGCAGGGACGTGATAATGTACATATCGGGTGTCGGAGCATGCGCGCTGGTGCGGGTGGGTATGCCTACTCCTACTTAGGTGTCGTCCAGAAAGTACGTCCGCATCATTCGACGTTACGAAATTGCCAACTTCACCCCAAGTTCAAAGCTCTCATAGCGCCTATGAGGTAGGCAACATCTTGCCCATAGTGCATGCGTGTACGGCGGGGTGGCCTAACTGGAGTCTTGCAGGCGCCGAGCTCCCGTAAATTGTCGAATGAATCCGAAAAAAAAAGAGCGGACGCTCTTTTTGGACGACTCTTTTTCTTACAGGGCCTATGGTGTCCTACAGGCAGAGGGAGTAAGGCAAACCCACCCGCACAGATGCGCCGCGCTCCCGGTGAATTCGGGGCACTGGCTTGCTGTATTACAATCATCATCCATTCCGTTGTGCGATGCGACGGTGGTGCGACAGCTTCTGCAAGACGGACGTCTTGTCGCCGCTGCAGAGTCCGCTCTCCTGTAGAGAGGCCCCGCCGTCGCCTCGCCCCGCCTCACCGCGACGGCGAAAGTTATTAGCAGGCAAAACAACACAGCGCGTGGCGTGGTGGGGCGCGGCGTGGCGCGGCGTGCGGCGGCCGGCTCTGAAACCAAGGCATCTGCACTGCAGCGCTGCCTGCGCGGTGCGCCCCGCCCCGCCCCGCCCCGCGACGCCCCGCCCCGGGGGCAGTAGGGCCCACAGGAGGCCAGGCGGCACGGCCCGGCCAGGACTCCGCGGCTCTGTTATTCCGAAAGTAAAAGCTAGACAGCAGCAAA